TCTGCCTTGAACCCTAACCCAAAGCACTTCAGAGTGCTCTAATGTGTAGAGGGGGCTTAAGGTACAGAGAAGATAAATGTTATTTATTTATTCTTTTCCACAACATATGGCAGGGGTCAGAAATGTTTTTAGCCAGTGCCAAATACACCCCAACCTTGACCCATGCTTTGACTTGGCATGCCAGAGGGAGAAGGCAGGGGAGCTATGAGGGGCTCGATCCTTGTTGTTGGTGGCAGGTGCACGTGTGCCTCCAGGGAGATGGGAAGGGAAGGGCTGGGGATGTGCTGTCCCAGGCCCCTTTCCCACCATGCACCCTGAGGTGCATGTATATCCACCAGTGCTGGGGCTTTGGACCCCAGTGCAGCTGTTTGCAGCCTGCCCACCTGCTGCAGCTGCCCAGAGCTTGGGCCAGCTGTGGCAGGCATCCACGAGGCTGCAAACAGCTGTACTGGGTTCTTTGGGGGCAGTAGTGGCTGCATGCACCCCTCAGGATGCATCGCAATCCCAGCTATCTTGCACTGTCTGTCTGGAGATGCACAGCAGCTGCTGCCGCCATGAAGCCTGACCAGAGCCGGGTGCAACTGTTTGCAGCCTCTTGGCTGTCTGCCACAGCCAGCCCAGGCTCTGGGCAGCTGCTTCCTGCCACAGACTGTGGGCTGCTTGCAGCAGGACTTGTAGGTTTCTGGCCTCCTGCTGAGAACAGCCCAGGCTCCCCGGCCAGTGGCAGCAGCCCAGAGCCTGGGCTGGCTGTGACGTGCCGAGCAAAATGGTCTTGCATGCCTTGCTCTGGCACATGTGCCAGGGGTTACCAACCTCTGCTGTAGGGTCTTTCAGTGAAATTTAAAATTTAACCAATTTAAAACTGGTAAGGGGAAATGTTTATACATAAAAGGTCTTTGGAACTTTCAGCCCAAGACATCATCACTGAGACCCTGATCACCTCTTGGCGAAACTAGCCAGCTGTGGCCTTAGATCCACCATGATCCGCTGGCTGGGAAATTGGCTCCACGGTTGGACCCAGA